TAAATAGACATGTACATGATATTTGTTTCAGGCTCTGAGTACAACCGCTCCATCCAGTCTGAAGCACATTTAAATCGTCTCTTCCCAAGAATCTCAACTTACAGCTTCGGAAATAATTATTAGACCGCTGTGACCGCCGTGTTCTGGCCTCTACCTTTGTGGTTCTTGGTGGAAACCTGGAGGCTCCAAACTATTGTCATTTCAAAATGTTTTTTTTGCACCGATCTATCCTCCACCACAGAGTTATTCAGGTCATCTACAGAGAGTTTGGTGGATTTCGTGGCTCGGTACCTTTCTAAACTACGTCTAATTCATTGAATGCGCCGCAGCTGGACTCCAGTCAGGTTCAATTAGCACAGCTGCGGTGTTTCGTAGTCGAGAAATCAGGGTTTTCCTCCTCTTTGTCGTGGCACCTCTCTGGAACTCAGTGGGTGGTTCCCAATATCGATTCAGTCATACTTACAGCATGGACTTAAAGGAAAAAGTATGCGATTTGAAACACTTGTTTGGATAAAACCAGATGTACAAGAATCATGACAGAATTACTGATCCATGTGGTATTTAGAGCTGAAACTTTGCTTTGTTTAAAAGGTATAATATGTAAACTTTAACTGCATTGCAACCAGTTGTTGGTGGAAACATCTGTAATGCGATAAAGGTGTTGGAAATTAAAAATAAAATAAAAAGCACCATTCATTCAAGCATTATGTGGACCTGAGCATAGCTTAAATCAGGGGTGTCCAATCCTGGTCCTGGAGGGCCACAGTCTGCATATTTTAGATGTTTCCCTCTTCCAACACACCTGATTCAAATGATCAGCTCATCAACAAGCTCTGCAGAAGCCTGATAACGATCCTGATCATGTGAATCAGGTGTGTTGGAAGAAGGAAACATCTAAAACATGCAGGATTGTGGCCCTCGAGGACCAGGATTGGACACCCGTGGCTTAAATGAACACTATTTCAAATCAGTTCATTCTCACATCACAAACCTGGAGGTTTTTTCCCTCCAATTTGTGTTTCAATCATTTGGGGGTTTTAAAATGACGTCAGTTAAAGATTTGAGTACCTCAAACGCAGCGTAACTACCTCCACAGCAAGCCCAACAGTGCAGATTTACACCACTTTGAGACTTGTCTCCTAGCTTCCTAGTTTTCATGCTGTGACGGCCCCATCTAGTCTGTTGGTTGGGCACATTGGTTGTCTGTGTTCGGCTCTGCTTCCTCAGGTCCTCAGACTGCTGGAGACTAAGTGGGTGGTCCTCCCTGCTTGGCTCGCTTGGGCCCAACGCTCCCAGGCTACAAAAGGGGCCAACCCCTCAGTTCCTGGTCTCTCTCCTCATGCTTGTGACATGTTGGTTTGGTCTTTACATCAGACAACACCTTGCTCCACATCACACCCAGACTACTGATGTCACTGACGTACACATCTCACTTTGAAAGCATTAATTTAACCAGTTAATAAAAGCTTACGTTTAAATTTGGCAATACCTATGTCGTCTCCGTTCTTTTTGCCATAGCCTATTTACCGGGTTGTGACAATGCACAAGAAAAGTACCATCCATCCATCATCTATACACCGCTTAATCCTCACTAGTGTCATGGGGGGCTGGAGTCTATCCCAGCTGCAAACTCCACACAGAAAGATCCCGGGTGTCCTCACTGAGATGCGAACCGGCGACCCTCTTGCTGCGAGGCGACGGTGCTAACCACCGAGCCACCTTCCAAGAAAAACACCAGTTAGGTTTGTTGTCAACCTCACAGCCAACATTACACCTCAAAAACAAACACATTTTAAATCTCCACCATCTGAAAATCACACAAGTTGCAGGTTTAAATTTTTTTTTTATTAGCATTTGTCTTTCTCCATGTCATATATGGTAAACCCTCGAGTCCTTGCAAAGTTTAGTTCCCAGAAATGTACAGCTTTAATTTCTTCAGCAAAAACCTGCCTTTTTCCCACCACAATCAACTCATCACATGTCAGAACACAAGAGTCACATCTCGAGCCTTAAAAAGCACTTTGTGTGTGACCGACCAAGCTCTCGGAGGCGAGGTTTTTACTCTGTTCTTACGCATTATAAAAAAAGGGGTAATGGGGGGATAGGGGGGCGACAGTGTGAATACATCAGGCCTTGGATGAACACAGGCGCTTGGCAATGTTATATACAAACAGGAGGTGCAGAAGGGGGAGGAAGAGGAGGGGTTTACAGGAGACCCCGGTGTGGTGGCGGTGGTGTTGGTGGTGGTGAATGTCCCCCCTCTCTCCTTGTGGCATGGTCCCAAGTGGACAGAAAGAGCAATTCCCTGTATGGTCCACGAATCCCAGAATGCATTGTGAGTGAGCGAGTGAGAGCACTCGGGCGGGGGGGGAGTCGGGAGGTCGAGGATGTGAGGAGAAAGGAGGAGATGGGAGGTGGGGGGGGAGGGCCTCGTTCTGACGCCCCGCTAAATCGTTCCTGGATTTTTCACAACCGCAGAAAAGAAAAATTCAAACATTCAGTTTCAGGGCCGGTTGGCAAATGGAACAGAATCCGGTGAGGGGCAGACCGAGCTACCCGCCTTTACCCCCCCATGCCCCGGTTACACTCTCAAAACAGACCCAACATGTTTTGTTTGGTTTTTTTTGTTTGTTTTTTTTGTTTGTTTTTATAATACATGTATGTATAAGTACTGTATATGTATTCTTTATTGTTATTTTACAAGATTCCCTGATGGCCAGCGCAGAGAGAAACAGGAAGAAAAAAACAAAACAAAACAAAAAAAAAACGAGGTGGGAGAGAAGGGAGGCTTGTCCAATTTTTTTGTTTTTTACATACTGTAGAAACCAGTGGTGGGTGGGAGAGGAGAGGAAGAAGGGCGCAGTGCCTGGATTTGTCCATAGGGAGGAGCACTTTGTGTCTGATCAACCCCAATCAGATTGGAAGGTAGAGACGGTGACAGGAGGCGGGGGAGGAGGAGGGCGGAGGGGCCGGGGGAGGACCAGGAGGAGCCGAGAGTCCACCCTGTCTGTCAGCGTTGTTGTTCCGTCGGGTTGTCTTCAGTTGGTCAGCTGGTTTGTTTGCTTGCTGGGTTGTTGAGTGTTTGTAATCTCCTCGTCCTCCTCCCCTCGTCCCTCCCGGGTTGAAGTGAGCGATCGACGGAGGTCTGACTGGCCCACGTCACTCCGGACAGGAGGACTGTCGGTTTCACTCTCTCTGGGGGGAACAATCCACACAAACATGGTGAGTTTGTGGTAGATGAGCGTCAAATAACAAACATAACATTTAGAATGATTGGGAGCAGCGGCTGCCAACACTGGGCCATATCATACTGAGCACGGTGATACTGGTGTAATGTTAGGGGATGATATGAAAGTGAAATATCGCGATAAAATTTGAGTGAAACACGCATGTGCAGTGCCGTTGTGTTTCCATCCGGTCTAATGCACATGGAGCGAGAAGCATGACGGCGACCGAGGAGGACGGTGAATGCAGTGCATCAACCGACACAGTTGGACTGGACCCGAATACTCAGTTGTTCTGATGGTGTCCGGATAGCAATGTTGAGACCCGTATATTCGCCCGCCGCAACTCAGCAAAGCAACTCTACTTTACTTATGTGGATACTATGCATTGATAAGCTCAGGATTTGAGAGCCCGTTTCCATTTGAAATGCATTTGATTAAACAAATCGTCAGCAAGCGATTTACAACTTCTGCACTAATGATTTTGGTACAGGGCTGCACGGTGGCTCGGTGGTTAGCACCGTTGCCTCGCAGCAAGAAGGTTGCCGGTTCACGTCCCGGTGAGGACACCGGGGATCTTTCTGCGTGGAGTTTGCATGTTCTCCCCGTGCAGCGTGGGTTCTCTCCAGGTTCTCCGGCTTCCTCCCACAAGGTCCAAAGACATGTTGAGGTTAAGCGGTGTATAGATGATGGATGGATGGATTTTGGTACATTATGGCTTTAATGCACATCAAAAACAGCTGCTTGCTAAATGGAAAAGAAATAGTTTTTTTTTTTATTTGCACTGATAAAGTTGTGCAGTTTTTAAGTATTTTGCCAGTTACATTGTTATCTCAAATGTTGTCATTTATATCGTGATAGATATCAGCCTGTCCTAGCGGCTCCCTACATTTTTTAAGAAGCTACTTGAACCTTTGAGAAGCACATGTGTTTGTTTCTGGACTGAGGGTTAAATGAGAAGACAGATACCACGCCATGATGCTAAACATGAAGCGACTGGTTACCTCTCGGGTGGATTTGGACGCCTCACACTACAGATGTTCTAAAATTCTAGCAGATTTGGAAGTCGGGTTGCATCACACACACATTAGGAGAACCCTCTATTCTTCTCTCTAATCTCAGACATGCACAACCTACACGATCTGACAATAATCACACACTACAGGATATTAATTATTAAGATTATCGCGCCGAAGGAAGTAATCAGGGAGCGGAGCACCACCTCACGAGATCTCACTGGGAAACCTGCTGCAACACTAATAACACTAAGAAAGCTAAACAAGTCGGGATGAGAGAACGACCGCAGCGAGACACGGTTCGTCTGTGGTTCTGTTAGAGCTTCAGTTTTATTATCTGTAGCTAACATTAGCTTCGGGGGCTCGAAGGTTTGGCGCTGCTCCTGGTGCTGGTTTATTATCTTAATCGACCAGATTTTAACCCCTAATGAGTCTGGAAGCGGTTCAGGTTTCATATTACCCAACGGTTTGGTTCAGACCGAGATCCCAGACCAGACCAGACGACTCCTCCGATCAGCAGGAGTTTGTTAAGTGGTTTAAATCTCCTGTAGTTTGAAGCCAACATCACTTTTTTTTCTCTGTATACAATTTTGTGCTCAAATAGTGCATTTGTTGGGGACTATTTTCAGCGGCGGATTGATCCAAACTTGGCACCGTTACAGCATATATGGTAGCCAATGGATATTTAACAGGGTTTTTCCTTCGCAGAGGATTTTTGGGCATCGCTTAAAGAGGTTTTAGCCAAAAGGAAACACACCAGTGCCAAAAGGATAAGAATTAAATCTATATTCTTTTCTGCTTGGCACTGCTTTGTTGTTATCTTAATTTACTCGAGCAAAATAGATACTCTTGCTTATGAAACTCTCAGAAATAATAGAAAAATCAGTGGCTTGACTGTATGCAGACCGATCATGGTCACCCCAAAATGCCAGATATTGGAAAACCTTTCATTGTCATTACTGACACCAAGTTTCAAACTAGGAGGAAGAGAGCAGCTGCACATGGTGGAGCGTTTATGAGCCGTAGGACAATGTGGACGGCAGCATTAGGTTTTAAAAAATGTACTTTTGTTGGGAGAATAAAGAAATATACTGGGTCAAACTCTGACAATTAAATAACTTCAATTAAATCAATATATAATGGAAGTTGAGGTGATAAAAAGGGGAAAGAAAACTGGGTTTATGAATCATTTCTCTTAATCAAGTATGTGACTAATCCATCATTTGATAAAGTGGTGAAAAATAACCATCATAATCTGTCTCAGGCGTCCACCAGCTGAAACACCACAGCAGCTGTCTGGGTGACATTGATTATTATTAATAATAGAAGGTAACAGATTTCTTTCTGATTAACTCTGTCAACTAACTCGTACATTATTTCAACAGAAACGACGTTGTGTTTGTAATGAAGAAACCTTTCATCCTGTACACATGATGTGTTTCTTTTGATGGAGTTTGTTGTTGTTAAAAAACAAAAACATCCTCCTTTCATTTATTGTCTTGTTTATTATTAATAACTGAAGTCTTGTTGTGCTAATTTTGGCCAAAGTACCCATAAATTATTGTTCTTCTAATGATCATATTCAGGATGCACCATTGAAACCATCATCAGTGAATATTTCCATCTGTTTCTTGTTACTATGCCATTTGTCATATTTATAATTATTTTGTCAAGACAGTTATAACTGGCCCAAATGGATCAAACTCCTACATTACATGTTCCTTATTGAATTATTGCATAAACACTCTACGGGTGCTGACCTTATGTAAGCTTCTTGGCTTTGTTGTAAAGCGAGTCGACCACTTTGCTCATGTTCTGAATGGTCTCCAGTGCTGCCTCGTACGTCTTGTCCACCACCGGCTCATCGAAGACAATCAGCACGCCTTCACCTTGGTCCAAAATACCTGAAGGAGGGGGAACACCAGGAATCAACCGCAGAGCAACAACACGTACAACAAGCACACACTGATACACAGACGTCTCTTTGTGCAGAGAGAAGACCGTGACGTACCGTGAAACTTCTTATCCAGAATCATCTGCGATAATTTCCTCTCCACTTCTCCCTGCAAGGCAGACACATTATCTGACTGCAGCTTTTGCACTGTGAAACTTGAGGAATTGCTTAAAACAGGAAACCAGTGTGACATGACAACAAAAGCCTGAAAGAAAATATTGATTAGCCTGAACCAAAGCTTACCTTAGGTAGTTTTATGAGGGAGGAAATGTGTGCTATCTGTGAGAGAAAACAAGTACAATCAGAAGGTTTCAGGACAAGATAAGCATGTTGTACATACATGAAAGTATACACTCATCAGCCACAGCATTAAAACATCCATCCATTATCTATACGCCGCTTAATCCTCACTGGGGTCACCGGGGGCTGGAGTCTATCCCAGCTGACTCAGGGTGAAGGCAGGGGGACAGGTCACCAGTCTATCACAGGGCTACACTTACAGACACACTTACGGACAATTTAGAATCACCAATTCATGTTTTTGAGCTGTGGGAGGAAGCCAGAGAACCCGGAGAGAACCCACGCTGCACGGAGAGAACATGCAAACTCCACACAGAAGGATCCCGGATGTCCTAACCGGGGATCTTCTAACACCTTGCAGCTCCCAGCAGCATTAAAACAGCCTGTCTGGGCCGCCACTATAGCTCAACTGGTTGAGCTGGCGACCCATGTACTGGGGCTATAGTCCCCGACGCGGCAGTCGAGGGTTCCAATCCAGCCCATGGCCATTTGCTGCAGGTCGTTCCCCCATTCTTCTCCCCACTTTCCTGTCTCACTCTCTACTGTCCTGTCAAATAAAGGCAAAAAGGCCAAAAAGATAACTTAAAAAAGAAAAAACAGCTCGTCTCAAACTGTATAGGTCCCCTTTGTGTTACCAGAGCTGCTCTCCACAGAGCTTTGTATGCGTCCTGTGGTACCAGCAGAACCTTAAAGTCCTGGAAGTTGCAAAGCGGGCCTCTATGGATCAGACTTGTTTTTCCACAGACGCCTGATCAAACTTTGAGGCCAAGTCAACACCTCAAACTCTTTGTCGTGTTCCTCAAACCATTCCTGAAACTGTTTAGGCAGGGAGCAACACACTGCTAAAAGAGGTCATGAAGGAGCGAGCATCCTCTGTAACAACATTAAAGTAGGTGCTACGTGTCAAAGCAACACCCGTCCACATGATCACGTCACCTTCTTCTGCTGCTCCACAGTCCAGTTCTTCAGCATGAACACTCTGACCAGCAGAAAGCTTCAGTACTCAGTGTGTTCTGACACCTTTTCATCACAGCATCATTACAGTTTTCACCAGTTCGTGCTACAGCTGCTCTTCTGTGGGACCAGAGCACACTGGCCAGCCTTCACTTCACCACTTCATCCGTCGCCCTTCCTTCAACCTCTTTTGGTAAAACGAGGAGATGCTGTGACCCCCCATCAGCTATCATCACAAGTGAGTCCTTCTCAGAGTCACTCAGATCCTCACGCTGCCTCCAACACATCAACTTGGCTGTTCGCACTTCTATCACACCGGCTGACAGGTTCCATTGTAACAGTGGTTTTACTACTGTGGCTGATTGGTGTGTATGAGTAATATTTAGTCTTGGTGAAGCAGAGGATTACCTGGACCCTGGAGAAAGGCTCGATGACCCTGATGAGGTTCTGTTCCAGCAGGTTGTCGTACAGCTTGGTCAGGTGGGTGCTGATTATGGGGTCATCCCTCAGCTCTGCTTTGTACTCTGTTAGTGCCTTTGGGGAGGACAGGAGCGGGACATCGTTAATGACAAACAAGGGGGGAAATGGACAGTTAAAGTCAACCAAAACTCTACACACAAACCTTTTCAAAGTCTGCGAGCGACCGGTTCTTGCTGGCTTGTGCCACACATTTCAGTGAGTCTGTCTGTGGGGAAAACAAACGGGAAACATGAAGAACGGGTTACAGAGAGACGGCAGCAAAGAAGAAGCTTTTACTGAAAGAGACAAATGTTTGACTGAATACAAAGTTCTTAAATAAATACAGGAAACCCAGCAGAAAGCATCCATCCAAATTTAACCGATCTTTGGTTAGTTACCGTTGCTATGCCTGTCCATTCTCACATGCCTTATTACACAACTTACAAAGTTAAACAGCTGGAGCTGTGACTTCACAAGGAGGTCGTTTTTCATATCTGTCCAGTGAGCATACATTTTACGACTCTAATTGGTGAGCGATTAGTTAGAGGGGTTGGTTTGAAACACTGAATTTTATGTTTTAGTTTTGACTTGTTTACAAGCAGAAACCTTGAAATTTAAAGTTGACAGGAAATGACATTCAGGGTCCTCGCCAGGATTTTTTGAAAGCGTGTCAAAGCGAGGGGTGGGCGGTCTTAGCGAATACTGCTAACGGTTAGCGGCAAATGCGCGAGCGAATAGCGATGGTAGAGAAACTGCATCAATGTTTGTTGTTAAATATTTTCCTGCTACATTCAGGCAGCAGCGGAACGAGCCGGTGCTGTTATGAACCCTGGACGTTGCTCCGGGCGGACAGACAGGCAGCTAGCTCTGAAGCAGGACACTGAATATTGTCGGGGACTCCTCACACCTTCTCCATCAACTGTTTGAACTGCTGCCATCAGGCAAACGTTTCTGGAGCATTAAAGGAAGAACCTCCAGGCTAATCAGCAGCTTCGTGCCACAAGCTGTCAGAATGCTGAACTGCTGATCCGGACATGCAAACACTTCGTTATTTAAATTGCTTTTAGTTTTTGGATCCTGAAGAAACGCTCTCTCATCTTGTTGGAATCTAAACTTTTACAACCATAGACTGTGTTATTCTGTTATACACTTTAAAAACAAAGTCGAAGAACTTTATGTATTTTGAGAAGAAACTTTTTGTGCTGCACATTGACTGATGTATATGATGTGATTCAAGCATGCACGCTGTGGCTCGACTGACATTAATCCAGTCTCATTATTTATATAAAACAGCCACACTTTGTACATTTTGCAGCAACTCTGACTCAGGTTTTAAACCATCAGTCGGTGCTTTTACAACCTCACGCCGTCCTCTTTGTGTGGCAGTCAGGCTTTTGATTGATCTCCGACGGCAACGCTGCAGGTGAGTGAAAACTGAACTGACGCTTGACTTTTTAAAAAAAATCATCATAATTACATTCTTTTATCCAAATCGCTCAACCACCAGGTCTGGGCGTCATCTCGAAATCTGAAACCTGTCAAGACTTTTAAAGGCATTTTATGGCCTTCGATTTTAATTTAGATTCTTTAGATTTCACCTGAAGACAGACCTCCTGTGGCTAAGCTACAATAGAACGAGCTCGAATCAGGGGAAAGCTTTGGCTGGCGGTCCATTTTTAAAGCTTCAAGTCGAAAAAAAAGGCTCTTAGGAATGAGGAGTCATACCTGTCTGCCAGCGTACCGCAGAGCTAGTTTGCCACTGATGAGGGCCTGGACATCTTCAGGCCTGAAACAGAAAACAATTCACATCAGACACAATCAAAAAAAAAATCCCTAAAGTCGACAACTTTTGTTTTGCATGTTACATAAGAGGTATTAAAACCTCATTCTTAGACTACACGGTGACGTGGCACTCACGCGTTGAGCATGATTTTGCAGAGCAGCATGTATTTGAGGGCTGTGATGGCTCGGGGGCTGTCGATGGAGTCGTAGCCCTCGAAGGCTTCGTAGAAGTAGGAGTAAGCCGTCTTCCAGTCTTTCTCCTCTGCTGCGTGAATGATCCCTGGAAGTACACGTGAATGTCGAGTTACCAGCAGTGTTGGGGAGAAAACCTCAGAAACTCTGGTGTACGCGCTCTATACGGTACCTGACTGCATGTCTAAAGCTGCTTGTAGTTTGGGCGGGCAGTAGATGGCGTTGGCGGTCGTCCTGGCGGAGGTGAGGGCGGCGCGGGCCTTGGGCAGGTTACTGAGCGCGTGGTACGTCTTGCTCTCCAGCAGCTGAACCTCCACCAGCAGGGCCTTGTCGTCCATCTTCTTGAGCTCCTGTAGCAACTGCGAGCCTGGAGACAGAAGGAAGTAAAGCAGAGTCAACGCAGTGTTTTCAGTCTGGTGTAAGTAAGCAGAAAAACAAAAACCTCAACATTCTTTCAGTCAATATTCTGTAATTGTCCAGCAACTTCAAAAACCCAACCTCCAGGAGATATAAAACACTGCTCACCCAGTTGTAGTGCCTCCTGGTAGCACTTTGTGTCGAAATACAGGGAGATGAGTCGGGCCTGAGGAGAGGAGGAGATGTTATTTTCCACAGAAGCTGATAAAAACGTGTTAATATTTGTTGAGCTGCTCCTTAGTTGCTCCCTCACGCTATTAAATCTGGGAAACTGCATCCAATTACAGTCCATCTCGGGGTACGTAGAGGTGGAGGAGCAGCAGTTCTCAGCCTTGTGGACACGCCTGCTGACACCCACATTACTGAGCTCCCAGGTTCACTGCTGTGTTGTGAGGAACGTTGTGCTGTTTCCTCTTAAACTTTGTTTTAGGGATCAAAACATTTACTTCTGATATCCTTCAGTTAGTTTTATGTTACAACCCTCGACTAACTATCTTAGTCTTGATCTGTTTGGTGGAAACAAACATGAACACTAATCAGACATCGTTTTTGTTTTTTTAAATCGTGGATGACTTTGAGCAGTTTGTCAACCTGCTGCTCCACATTCTCCCATCCATCCAATTTCTTATTTGTGGGACAACTGTCCGCGTTATTTCCATTAAAAGGAGAAGCGCCGCTACAGCTAACAGCTTTCCAGGTTTTCTCCATTACTTGTGTCACAGATTGCCTGCGAACACCAACGCGTTTTCACAACTTTGAATTCACCCGAGCTAATGGAAGCTGCTCGTTCTAACTTACTCAACTTTACTGAACGTTTAGTCGGAGTCGGCTCAACATCCGACTCAGTGCATCTTGTCTGCGGTGCTTCATTTAAGTATAAAACAATCAAGGTGAACATGGTTGAACATGATACAAATATTAGCTTTTTATGCTAATTTATAACTCATTTGAGTCTCGTAGGGCTAAACAGGAACTCAGTGAACTTCAGTGGATTCGGTTAATCAAAAGATAACGCACAGATTTTTTTTCCTACAACTAACTGGCTGGTTGAAGATTAGTTATGATTTCAGTCGACCAAGATGTTCTTTGTTTGCCTACAGCCCTGCTTTGTCTCAGACAAACCTCCCCACATCATTTTCACAATTATTTCTATAAAATATCCCAACACAAAATGCACTTTTTGCCACATTTTTCTCCCCCTAAAATCCCCACAAAAGTAAACACACTTTGAATCACAATAACAAAAAAAATATCTTAACTGAAAATTGCAATATTTTCATTCACTCTTGCAGCTATTTAACAAGACAAGTTTAAAGTATTAAATACACCAAACAATTCTGCACGTATTACAGGTGTCATACTACAACACAACGTCGTTTAACATGTCGGCAGTGGAAGCGCTTCATAGTGAAAGTCTGATCCTGTTTGCTCCTGTGAGGTTCTCTGCTGACAGCTTAATACAGCCTCCATGTAATTAGTTTAATGAAAATAGCACTAAATTTGTGAATTCAAGAAGTTTTGTTTCCCATTTAGTCGCCTATTGCGCCAGAATTATTTTTTCCAAAACCAGACAACATGTCACCTAAACTTGAAGTGTCCTGTCTGGTTGGGGTACCACAAGCAACGGACATGTTTTGAGACCGCATCTTGTTGCCACTTGAGTACAAATCACCTGCTCGTCCAAATAACCAGGAACAAAGAGGAGCTCAACACAAGCTCCCGCGACAGCACCGAGTCTCACCTCTAGCGCTTGCCTGAGGAACGTCCTCTTCTCAGCCTTGGCCCACTCTATGCACTCCAGACAGAGCTCGACCTCCTGACCCGTGGCGGCCTCCATGTCCAGGAAGAGGTCCAGCAGGGAGCGAACCAGCCGGGCCGCCTTGGCCTTGGAGATGGAGTTAAGGAAGGGCCGTACATACTTCAGCAGCCCCCCGAGCTCTGACAAGAGGGCGAAACAAATGAAATGCGTTAATAGGGAACTTTTATCTGGTTATTAAATCGAGCTGCATCGTCAGACGAGCAGTGATAGAAGATAAAGTGCCAAAGTCAGTGTGTCTCAGAACAGGCAGATACCTCATTATTCAATTAGAGGGTCGTGATCAGCAATTAAATGTTTTCTGTCTAATTTGCAGCAGACGTCTTGAAGACAGGAGCTGTCACCCCCTCACTCACTCATTCATTCATTCATTTATTCACTGCTGCCTGTTTTAATCACAACTACATGCTTTACAATAAGTCAGAAAACTGAGATTTGGGGACATTTAGGCATCATCATCATTTTGTGTCATCAATGACTAGAGCTGCAATGATTAGCTGATTAACTTTTATAATCAATTTTGATCACAGATTAATTGGTTTGAGTCATTTTGTAAGAAAAAAAACACTTGACTCTTTCTGTTTTTCACTCTTGTACAACAGCAAACTGAATACTTCTAGTTTGTGGACATAAAAGACGACATTTGAGGAAACACTGGCTGACATTTTTCCCTGTTAATTTATAGACAACAAACTGCTTGATCGAGAATTGCAGCCCTATTAACGACTGTTAATTTTAAAACACACAGGTCAGACATTCCCTCTGTTTGGATGAGCTACAACAAGCCCAAAAACACGAGACAGGAACAAACCGGTCAGCCCAAAGCCGCTCACGCTTCCCCACAGGATGTTTAAACCCAATATTTCCCCCGAGCACAATGTTTTGGTTTGTTGGGTTTATTTAAGGACAACCACATCTTTCAGAAGACGAACCTACAAAGACTGTTTATAGTCGGTTTGCTGAGCGAGAAGAGAACAAATTCTCAGATCCACTGAAAAGCAGTTGTTTTTTAAGCTGGGCACTCCACTAACTTCTTATAATTCAGTTTCAGGAACATTATAAATATGCATATAAGTGTGACTCAGGCTGTACAATCCAAAGAGCAGAACAGCTGGTGTCTTTTGCTGAACTTTCAACACTGATCGAGTTAGTTCACATTTTTGTCTCAAGCGTTTGGCTGCTCAGCATTCATTATGAAGTGTGTGTGTGATCAAATCAAAAAAAAAAAAAAGAAAAGGGGGCTTGATATGTGAACATCATGTCCTGGTTACCTGCAGCTTGTCCCGTCTTCGCCAGCAGCCCACCCAGCTCCAGGATGCTCTGCTCTTTAACACGCACCGCCTCCTCATCGCTGTCCTGGATGTCCCGCTTCACTACAACACACACACACACACACACGTATGTAACGATGATGTAATCTGATCCGTATGAACGTGAATCAACGCGATTCACAAACAGTGTGGAAAAAAAAAATGCTGATGTTGCTCTCCTGCCTCCGCCTCTGAGGGCCAATAAGTCAAGTAACATCGTGGACAGACAGGGGTGGATGGCAAACAGCCAAGAGGTTAGCGGAGCTGCGAAATATCGTAGCTGTCAAATTAAACAATAAACGACAATGACAGCCACACAGCTCGGCTCGTTAGGAAGCTACATGAAAAGGCATATGCTACGTTGGCTCGCGCTAAACGCTACGACAAAGAATGCGGTGTCACAAAGCTAACTCGGTTTCACTTTAATTTTCCTGTCGGCCTGACATCTGACAAGACGAGGGATAGCTGCTAACAACGCTAGCTGCAAGCTAACGTTAACTAGCCAGCTGTCACCCGAAACCCTGTCAAATGAATGAGCCCGGCTAGCTAGCGTTAGCCCGTCTGATAAGCTAGCCGGTATGTTGCTAGCCGGCTAGCCCACTGCTGCTGACTCACTGTGCAAGCAGGGAGAAAAAAGAAACGGCCAGCACTGGGCTAGCTAACCTAGCTTAGCTTAGCCGCTAACGAGCTAACAGCAGAGCGAGCTAACTCAGCTGCTCCACGACTGATGGAGTAAAAGTGCAGCGTCCGTGTCCGCGCGTAGAAACCGCGGTGTTTCTGGCGCCGCGGCGTGTCGGCTGTATTTACCTATTGAATGTAAGATATCGATAGAGGCATTCCGGTCTGTTCCAAGAAGAGACTGTGCTCTCTGAAACTCAGCCACTGCCGCGGCTGCCATCTTTCCTCTGCCTGCCTCCGCTCCACTCTGCCCGGCTGTTTTCCGGTCAGGTCGTACACATGTTCGGAGCAACGCTGCCCCCTGCAGGCGGCGTCCAGCACCGCCTGCCTGCAGCTGAAACATCATCAAGGCAATTCACACCACAGCTGCAATAAAACATCCACTGTCAGGCTTGTTATTTGTGATAGCTGATCAATCCTGCATGCAAAGTCATCTGTTGTACTTAATAATGCGCTTAAGACACCATGCGTTATAATTAGTGTGGAAATTAAGCTGCAGCTTGTTTTATTATTTCCTATCTTTCTTCATCCACACTTAACCCAGGATATTGGGTGTTTTTTCCAGCTTGCTTAGAAATATATTAGGAAATAGCAGCATAAGCAAACTTTTTGCAAGATAGGAATTCATAATAAGGGGAGAAGTTTAATGGGAATCCTACATCTTACTTGTTATACCTCACTTTACTGGTATTTTATACATTCACTGTCTCACGTCTCTCATTTCTCTCAGTTCCTCTGCTAGGATGGATGTGACAGAAAAACTTCCCTGTAAGACTGAGTGTGATTTTATACCTTCAGCTCTTGTTTTAGGAAGTAAGGAACGAGTCTCACGTGCGTATTGCTCTGTTGCAATAAATAACTTTGAAGGACACTTGCTCTTTGTGAATGTACTTTTACACCATAATTATGCTTCTCATGTTGAGAAACCAACATTACAAGTGTCACATTAAACCAAAGGTGCAACAGAGCTGAAATTCAAACCCCATTATTTCATCTGCATGCGATAAAATTCATCATCAAATTAAAAGAAAAGCCCCCAACTTAATCTAGACAACCCATTTAGAGTGAAAAATCAGGGCAACGCAGTATATAAGCAAGAATTACTTCATCAAAGACTTAAGCTTGTTTTTCAGCCGTTTATCATTTGGCATGCAGTCTGCTGTTTCTCTTTGTTATTCGAGTGCATGGTGTCGTCATACCAATTAAAGTAAGAGAAATGGTTGTAGATGTTGATTTAATTCTCCTGTGCTCAGGTCAAATTTTGACTCTTTTAAAACTTTAGATAAGTGCAACATACTTTGTTTTTTCTGATAAAAATCATCATTGTATTCTCAACAATACTGAATAAAAAACATGTTGATAATTGTACCTATCCTTAACGGATTTCAAAGGTAATAATTATAGTAGTTAATACAGGCTTTGGATGCAGAGAAACTTTCAGACTCGATTACTGCAATAGCATCTTAATCTACGGCCGTCCCACCAAACAGCTCAACAAACTACAACATATCCAGAACTCTGCCACCCGCCTGCTCACCCACACCTGCTCCACATCACCCCCGTCCTCCAAAACCTCCAAACCCTCCTCCTCACCCACAAAGCCCTCCATAACCAGACCTCCTCCTACCTCACCAGCCTGTTCCACCACTACACCCCCTCTCATAACCTCCGATGCCCACCTCCTCTCCACACCATCTGACACCAAGCACTGAACCTGGGGGGATTTTCTCTCTCGCCGACTCCTTACCACCAAACATCTGCCTGAACCCGTCAGCCTTCAAATCACTCACCAAAACTCACCTCTACAAAAATGCTTTTAATGTGGGATTGTTTTTAAATACACTCAATGCTTTTTGATTTCTGTTGTTTGCATGTTGTTTTTATCCACTGTGCAGTATCTTTTGAGCGTTCGGAGAAGCGTAAATGTCGCCATGACACTATGAAATGACAACATAGTGTAAAAATCTTGCAGTTATCACAAAAACCTAGTGGCACTTTGTCCAGCACTGGCCAGTTGTCCAATTCTGCCCAAGAACTGTTTGTCTGATGCAAAAAGACGTCTCGGATCTGCAGATAATTTTGCAGCTGTTGGTGTCAAAGTGTTGCATCTACAATCAGAACATACAAGCAAAGAGCCGGCCTTTTGGAATAATGTGTTCTGTACAAATGAATAAAAGAATAGTTTAGTCACAGCAGATATATTTTGCAGTATTTCAGGAAAAGAATCCATCTTCATCTCGAGGCGCCGTCTTAAAGAGCATCTAATGTACCTATAAAGTAAATTCTGTCAGATTTCGTTGAAGTCATTCTACATTTATCACATCTTCAGTTTTTCAGATCAGCAGGAGTAAACAGGCACAACATACAATAAAGGACGACATCATTGTGTTTCATATATAAATAGCCTTTATTTCACAAAACATATAGACAGCACCAAAATAAAAAGCTCAAAATCAAATCTGACGGGCAAAGTCACTGGTAACAGCGTTTACAGGACGATGGACAGATAGTCACACACCTGAAAGCAGAGGAAGCTGTGGGTTAAAACAAGCTGCAACACCGAATCCATCACAGCTCCAGCAGGGTTTGTTTTGTTTGTTTTGAATCATTACAAATACACAGCGTGTTAAGGACCAGTGACTGTGGCGTACCTTGCAGCTAATCATCAGGTTGGGAGAGCTTTCTGTGTTGGGGGTTAAGGAGAAGACGGGGTTGTGGAGACAGTCCTCCATGTGTTCCGAGACTCTGGACTCCAGAAGATGCCGCAGGACCTCAGGAGTGATGTTTCGTTTCTATAGAACGAGATGTACAGCGTTGCATTACATCATTGTAGCCAAGAGTGTGGTTCACTTGGCGTTCAGCAGAGTCACCACGTCTTGGACAGGAGATATAAGGTTTAAGATTCAAAGCAGGATGGGTGACTCAGAAAAATCTATTTCGCTTGAGTGAGCCATAAAACACATGTTCCAGGGATACAGGGATCATGTTGATTCGACTGATCCCTTTAAGTGTTTATGTTCCTATTTTTAGCTCTGGACGCTGCACAAGTGCAGTCATGACTCGATAAACCGACCCTAAATGTAAAACCTTCTTTTATGTCAGATAGCAAGACTGTCGGATTGTCAAGACGGAGGTCGAGATACAAGGAGGGCTTGATGCTGGAAGGCTCATTTGTGGTTAATATTTATTGTTTATAGTTGTTATAGTAACAAGTGTATTGATAGAACACCTCACTTCAATTCAAAAACTCCTGTGTACCTTGTTGTCTTTGCTCACGATGTTGTAAAGTTGCTTTTCACCACTGCTGTTCCTCCTCTGTAGTATTTTCTAACTATGCAACCAATCCTCAGCTTCATGTTTTTAAATACTGTAATTTCCGGACTATAAGCCGCTACTTTTTTCACATTGCGGCTTAAACAATGATGCGGCTAATTTATAGATTTTTACGAATTTGCCTCGAGATGAAAGTGACATCAAGAGCGACGACAAAAGAGAGACTGAGGAAGTGTGTGATGAAGTAATTCTGAGGCTGTTCAATCCTAACACTGAAGACTTTAGTGGTTTTAGTGGCAGGAGGAAGATGAAGATAGCGATCAATGACTTTTCCTGGTTGGCTGCTGTAGTTTTTATTTTTTTAACCAGCCATGTTACAGGCACTGTTGGGAAAAAAGCATTTACGTATTTGTGTATGTTACTGGTACGTATTTAATTAAAAGTTTTTCAAAATCCTTCTGTATAACTATCTCATGTTACAACGTGGACACCTGCGGCTTATATTCAGGTGCGCTCAATAGTCCGAAAATTATGGTGATTAGGAAACCTCTAATATAATACCAAAGACCATAAACTGATTAGAACAGAGTTTAACAAACCTACCTTACTGTTGATGTAAACTCCACATGGACAGGAGATAAAATAGCTGTTGATGTTTAGGTTGTTCCTGCAAGATTAAGAAACAACATTATTATCAATGCAACTTTAAAGTCGATATCACATTTCCTGGACTCGGGCTGCAAGGTGGAGCGGTGGTTCGCTCCGTCGCCTCGTAGCTAGAGGGTCACCAGTTTTTGTCCCGGTGAGGACACCCGGGATCTTTCTGCGTGGAGTTTGCATGTTCTCATGGTGATTCTAAATTGTCCATAGGTGTGAATGTGAGTGTGTTTGGTTGTCTGTCTCTAGACTCTAGCCCCCCTGCGACCCTGGTGAGGGTGTACAGATAACGGATGGATGGAATTCTTGGACTCACATGTGACAAACGGGGCAAATAATATGATTCTCGTCCAGCATCTCTTCCATGCCTTCCACGACAGACGAGATGTACTGCTGCTCAAACTGCAGGTTCCTCTCGTACTCTTCAATAATAGACATTTCTGAAGCAAAAAGAAAATCACATTCAGCTACAGCATACAGTTCAAAATCCACAGCAAGAAATATCTCAAGCCTACAGAAATGACCACCATCCACGTCCACTTATTTATCAGTTAGAGACGTGGCTTGAAAAACATCCAATAGAAACGCATTACCTTGAGACATGAGCTCCTGTTGGATTTCTTCGAGCACTGCCAGCTCGTCATACTCCCTCATGACACTGAACATCTGTTGATGAGAAAATAAAGCAGATTTCCACTTGTTTATTACGATGAGGAAAAAAAATCTGAGGGCATCTTACATCATTGCTCTCTCAATATTAAGTGCATGTGGAGGAAAGAAGTTTTTAATACACATGATAGTCCTACAAGTGTAGAAACACACTGACTGACAGAGAGACCGACCTCTGCCATACCCTCCGGCCCCCACAGTGAAGGCAGCCTCCGGTCCTCCGACTGCAGGGCGCTCCACTCCTCCTCCATCACCTCCTGGACGATGATGGAGGCCCCGGAGCTGCCACACTGCGGACTCTCTCCCCTCTGCCGGTATCTCTCCAGCAACCTGGACCGGCTGTTTTTCAACCTGTCCACGCAGCGCTTTAGTAGAAAGAAGGAAAGAAGCA